TGTAGGCCGTAGGGGGAGTTGCGCACCGTGGCCGCTGTCTCTTATACACATCTAGATGTATAAAAGAGACCCCCCCCACCCCCAACAACCGTTTTTTTGAACCCCCCCCCGCCACTGCGGAACCCGCCGTCTTCTTGTGGACGTTGTTCATCTTCGTCGATGCCTTCTTCGACGATCGCGGCGTCACTCTTCGACGACGACCACGCCCGACAAAACAGACGTTCAAAACGACCACGACGACTAGCAGCACAACGACGAGCAGCAGCAGAGGCAACCTACGAAACAGGTCAGCCATGGACTGCAGGGAAAACGAACTCCGCCACTGGCTGAGGCGACACGTGCAAACACACTGGCGCGACCCACATGAGGAGAGGACGCATTTGTGCATGCGGGGACCGTGCGAGGACGGCTGCGATTTCGTAAACATGACCGTTGTGGAGCCCGCCATCAGCTCAACAGTCCGAGACAAGCTGGCCGAATATGGTACAAGGGCCGCCCAGAGGACGAACACGGCCGTCGGCCGAATTGCTCCCAACGGTAAGTTCGTGGAGGCCGTTGGAGAACGTCCAAGTGGTGGAGGAGGGGGGGTGGGGTTTGGGGGCGCGATGTCCGTGTGCAGGCCGGTGGACCACGAATGGACCACCTCGTGTCTCCAATTTCCGTTGTGGAGTCGTCGCCGCCGGCCCGTGATTCACGGATCCTCGGGCTCCAAAGGACGTCGCGAGGTCCTTCGGGCTCGAGGACGATTTGGCTGGGAAATCCTCGGTCCGGGAGCGTTTGCACTTTTTTTTTGGGAAAATCGGCTCCGAGGACAGGTGTAACGATGACGAATTCCGCGAAATCTCGTCCCCGAGGAGTGTCTAAAGAAGCCCCAAGTACCTATCTGAAAACTCTAGGAAGCCTGAACGGCGTAGATGGGTTTCCCACCACACACCCTTGGATCTTCATTGGCATCAACATTCAGCGAAACCAAGATCACCATGGAATCCGATACAGTTCTTTTTTTTTTTTTTTTTTTGGGGGGGGGGGGGACAAAGCTCCAATCTATTCATGGGGAGCAGCACGTGCTGGGAACCGGGCCCAGCGTCCCATATAGAAAATTACATAGGATTTGAAAACATTTGAGAATTTGCAGTACCGGGCCCACTACCCGGCTAAGCCTTTGGCTAAGAGCCTACAAACAAGCTACCGAGAATGAACAAAAATTCAGGACCACACTACAGTTCAAGTTTGCTTCCAGACGGAATTCTTTAGCACCAGACGGAATTTTTTAATTGAATTGAAAAAGTTGGCACTCGGCACCTGGCATTAGGAACCCCAAAAATGAAACAAAAAAAAGAAGAAATTGCATTCATACCCTAGGCTATGCTGAGTCCCGGCGCCAAATTGCACCTATGGCCAGCCCGCCAAATTGGAGTCATAAAAAAAGCAACTAGGGGAATGCTCAAGTCAGTACATCTGCATGCTGCATGGATTTGGCCACGGGGGTGACACTGTGACACTGTGCGACACCATTTCGAAGCTTTTCTGAGGACATCTGAAAACAGTGTAGAAGGGTAAGGGTCCTGCAATGATGACAATCTGCCAGAGTAGATTCGGGAGTGCCCTTTTGTTGGGCCTTGCATCACCTCACCAAATGTGGAAAATGAGAATGTATTTTCACTCTGTACATGGGAAAATACATCCCCATAGTTTTTGCCTTTCGTGTATGTGGTGAGAATAGCGAAAGGCTGTGGAGTGGACTTCCACGCAGAAAGCATGTGCGTGTGTGTAGACACACACACACACACACACACACACACACAGAGAGAGAGAGAGAGAGAGAGAGAGAGAGAGAGAGAGAATGGGGCGGGGGTTAACAGGATGTGTGGCACGGTCGGTGGCTTTTCCTGTACCGACCAAGTGGGGTCGTTTTCCATCCCGAACCGAGTCCCATCAGAAGCCAAAAATGGGGGGGCGGGGGGGGAGGGGAAGGGGAGGGCCTGCTACCGGTACGTGCTCCCAGGCCAGGCCACGGGAAAAAGAGCCCAGGCCACCTCCCGTTTTTGGCAATTATTGAACCAGTAGGCCGTCCAACGCATAGTTTACTCTTTTTCTTGCAGTTTCTAACTGGTCTTGGCCCAACCTTGCAGTGGACTGTTATCTCTGCGAATTCTAAAATGTGCAGTGGTCACAGGCGCAGTTTTTTCTTTTATTATATACAACCCGGGAGCCGGGCCTGGCGTGCCCTACAAAAGTTGACATAGGCGCTGACGGAGAACCAGGAATCATTGGTCACTGACAGGTTCTGTTTCATGGACCAGAGTTACCCAGAAGGGGAACAAAACGCTGCTGTCCGCACTTCAGCTCTCTTCCCCAGCACTGTGCTGACACTGCTGAGTCATTGTCAATGAGGTTCAGATGACTCCACTTGATAAGGATGCACTCACAGAGGTTGGCAGAGAGAGGCTGCAGAGATACTGGGTTGTACGCAGTATGATTTAAACCCTGGGCATTGGGGGGAGGGAGAGGTGGGAAAGGGGAAGGAGAAGGGTGGGGGGAAAGAGGGGGGCGAAGGGGTGCACTCCAAGGATACTCACACTCGGACTATCTGGATGTATCTGACAGAAAATACGGCACTCGCTGGTTGCATCTGACTGCAAAAATGTCCAGAATTGAGTCCCAAAGCTCGTCGTGCGAGCATGCCCTCTACATGCTTAAGGGGTTCAGGGCTGACATGAGGGCTTACTCGTATGGGGTTGGCACTGAATTTTGGAGTGCGGATCAGCATTGGGGGGGCCAGATAGAGACAAGGGGCATTGTTTTAGCAGGGAGTAGAATTACGTGTGTTGTCCTGCTTGGAGGGGGTAGGACTCCTGCTCTCCAGGGGTATACTTTAGTTGGGAACTTAATGTTTTGGAGGGAGTGGGGTCACCGATTAGGGGGGCTATCCAAAACTCGGGCCGAGAAGGAGAAGGGTGGCTCCTCTTGGCGGCGGAAGTGTATGGACAGGGGGGATGTTTTCCCGTGGGGGGACGGGGGTGATTTTCAGTGGTGTACTATGAAGCCTCTATATCCTGTGGTTTCTCATCATCAGTCGAACTGGGATTGAGTGGAATTTGAGTCCTATCCTGCGGAAGCAGTGTCTACGAGGCGTACGAGTGGTGAAATACTAGATGGGGGCAGATCACCTACCGTATTGGGGACAGATCGTATAGGCGCAGATCGGAGTCATGTTTTATGCTTCGGAAAGCAGAGTTACCGCCTCCGTTGGTTCGGTCGTCTAGGTCGGACTCGTATCTGGTGCACCACCGGAACGCTATGGCTATCTCGCTGGCTGGTCACCTGTCGACGTCAATCTTCGCAAGTCTCGGAATCTGACACGGCCGGCCTCAGCCAAAGGTTCTGCGCCCGTCGTTCTTCCTCTGAGTGAGTTCGATGGATGAAGCCGAAGGCTCGGTAGTCGTGGTCCTACAGGCACTCTGAGCACGAGGGTTGGGCCCAGTAGGGAGTGATCCTGCGCTCCGGGACAATGGTTAGGGATGGAAGGGCAGGATACGGTGAGAGCGAGGGAATTCGGTCCCCAGGAAAATGATTCCGGGTTCCCCGACGACGTGACACATGTGTGAGTTAGGACAGCTGGGGAGATGGGGGATACATCCCAAGGCCTAATCAATATCCCACTCACAAAGACGCTCGTTCCTGGTGAGGTAGGGAAATTCTGAAGGTTCCGCCCTTGATCGTGTAGACAAACAAGAGTGTTCCCAATATTCCCAGAATTCTCGATCCTTCGGGCACTCGCGGTCAGTGATACGAAAGGGGACTTCAATATTCGTACTGCAGGGTGGGAAGGGAATTCAGACATTCGGGAAGTTAGGCCGAGTATAGGTTTTGCAGACACGTGTGTAAGTAGCGGCCTTCCTCGGTCGGGCTTACATGCGCGTGCACAAGACCTGTCCTTCGGTCACGTGGATGAAGGCCCCCAACTCATGAGGTGGGTAATCCTATAGGGAGAAAGACATCTAATCATCTAGTATGGTCATCTAATTCGTACTCAGACGGGAACACATCAAACATCCATGCATCCAACCAGTTCCGTACCCCCGTTAACCGTTCACGGGGCCTGTGAACGGAAACCGGTCATGGAGTTCACGGTGTAGGAGCTCATAGAGTTCACGGAGAGCGGGATCGATTTGTTTTTTTTTTTTTGCTGGGGGGGAGGGGTTATAGGAGGGTGCAGGACATCAAAGGGTAACTCCCCATAATTTTTTTATTT